CGGATGATTTCGGGATTCTGAACAACAGTGGTCGGTCCAATGATGGCTTTCAATCTCTCCTGAATAACAATCCAGCGCTCATGATCTGTGGGTCGTCGTTCCACCTCCTGTTTTTGTTCCTGAACTTCATCTTGTTTACTCGATTCGGGCTCGGTTGGCGTCTGTTCCAGTGTCTTTCCTTCTTCGGCAACAGAGCGGCACAGCTCGTCGAGACGCTGATCGTCGAGGAAAAAGGAGAGCAACTTTCCAAACAGCTGGCAGTTTGTCCAAAGGTCCGAGTCGCCTCCTCCAACGCCAATGCTAGCAATTATCTGCTCCAAGGCCTCCCAACCTCCACCTTCAACCCTGTCCTGGAAATAACGTCTGTTGCCAGGGTGCCCTCGGAAGAGAGCCGAGATGGTGGCCAGGATGACGTGGAGCAGATCGAACAAGCCAACACGCTCGGCTTCGGTGCGCTTTTGTGGGTTGTAGAAGCCGGAAAACGATCGCAGAACATCGAGAAGGGTTTGGAAGCCGCGCAAGTAGCGGAAGTCGTCTTGTGGCGGGGAGGGAGGTCGCGCTGCTGCGATATGTTGGTGTATCCTTCGTATATGGTCTATCAGCTCGTCTATGTCGGGATATCCGTTGGCACCCGGCGCTCTCGTCGTATCTAGAAGACGGTCGAGGAGGCTCTTGAGGACTTCGGCCGCTTTCGAGGTCTGGACCGCCGAAGCCGAGGTCGACGACCGGTAGCGGCGTGACCGCACGGCGAGCATCGTGTATGTAGTCTATAGTACAGTCGTGGGTCGGCGACGAATGTGTATTTTGTATAACCATGTATCAAGTGCGGAATCAAGTCGACGTTGCGAGGTCCCCAGCACCCAGCGCGGGTTTAGGGGTATGTCCAGGACGGCCTTCATGGAATGGCAACGGAGCAATCTCGAAAATGGTCTGAGGAGAGCCCTCACAGCACCATCCTCAGCTCAATGCCTAATGTAGCCAGGATCCAAATCGAGGAAGCATCCACTGCGTGCCAAGTGACTGTAGGTAGCCAGTGGTCGTCGGTCTAGCCTCCGTAGGTGTGGTGTTTAAGTTAAAGATGGACGGCTGCAATGTCGTGTGGTTGTGTTGTCTGGCAAAGGCGGGGTGGTCGACTGGGGGCAACAAAAGCAGACAACGAACACAAGTTGAAAAAGCTGGTTGGAATACAGTATCAAAAGAAAGATAGGATTGCTGGTCTGTTACTTTTTTTTTCTCCGTGTTGTTTCTGCGATGCCTACCACGCGTCCCTATCTCAAGGTGCGGGTCGTTGTGCAAATAAGATTGAGAAGCTCCTCTTGTGTTCAGCCTCGAGCTAAGAAAGTGTTCAGGTTCCATTGCGGCTTCTCCTTCCAATGACAGCGGGCCCCCTGTGTTGTTGGTGCGGTTCAGCGGCCCAGTGGCATAATTCTAGTGGATAGCCTTCTGCTGGCAGGAGAGATCAGGCTGGAAGTGGAAGGGATGGAAGCGAGAGGGGTAAGCCCACCTGTGGCGGTGCCTGCCTAAAACGGACTTCAGGGGAACTTTTGGTCGCTGCTTCCACTTGCGTAACAAATTGACTGTCTTCAGGTCTGCCATTTCTTGCGAGATTTCGAGCTTCGCTTGTATGTTAACTTGAATCTAAGCAATTTGCCTTTGGTCATTATAGGTACCTTAATTTGTTCATTTAACAGCGCCAAGGTGGGCTCGATACGGGACCAAAGTCCGTCCATCCGGTTCAAGTTGATGGTGTTGGACTCTGGTATGGCATGTCAGGCTGTTCAACATACGGGAAACAGTTCATGAATAGGTACGCATCAGTCACTAGGGCTCTGTAAGTGACTCTTGTTGACTCTTCATTGTTGACATTCATTAGCCATTTCCAGTTCGTGGTAGGTGAAACTCGGGACTGGCTTCAATATCCGACGATGCCGATAACGTTGGACTGACTCGCACTAAAACGCCTTGATATTTCCCCTTTTAGCGAGATACCAATATCGCTGTCTCACAGACGATCCTGTAGCATCATAACTGCAAAAGATGATCAAAGACTTTGGGAAACAACCTGCTGCACAAGCTGGAAATCAAAAGTTTATCCTGACAATGTGGGTTTTTGAGGTTTATCTGTAGACAAACTTCTAAAACAGAGATCTACTATTATGAAGCCATGCGGAAGCTTAATGTATAAGTTGTTGGTCTTTCCAGTGTCTCAGGCTGCTTTGGTATAGGTTCCCACGTTGGTTTAACCACCTTGTGAACCTTTTTTGCGTTCAGCTTTTGTGATTGCCAGTTGCGAACAGAGAACTGGCTGGAGGTTCGTTATGTTCATTTTCTGTACAATGTCTGAGTTGGGATGACAGACTCGTACTTCCAACTAGACCCTCAAGACTCTAGCCTTTCTCTTTGGACGATTCCAACTTTGAAACAATGGGCTGCCGGTGGTTCTTTATCTCATTGGCAAGGCGTTCCAACAGCATGCACGTGAGTGTCGTTATTGACCGCTTGGTACCTCTATGGCGAATCGTCAGCGCACCCGAAAGCTAAAAGGGCTGACCGCTTTCTGGGGAGGATTCCCACAGTTGTTAGTGCACGCTCCGGCGTCTCAAGTCAACATTGACGGTTGTCATGCCATTTAACAGCCTGAAAAGCAAACAAAAATATCGAGTGTTTCACTCACTTCCACAAAGAGCGTACTGAAGAAACCAACTCTACCAAGAAACGGTTCTCCTGAAACGCTTCCAAACCATCCCAATGGCCTCAACGCTCAGCTCTTCCAAGGCAGTCGAGGCAGTCTGTTGCCTGAATGGCCATTACATCATCCCTTCTGGGATACTGATTGGTAGCTGATAACGGCCGAAACCGATAACGAACCCTGGTCTGATCCCAGAGCTCCACTTACGCGACACGCTGCTTGCTTCGACGTGTGCCTGCGTGTTAATGGGCCATTCATTGTCCACTCATCCAACGCACCACTCGCGTCCCTGAACTAACGCGACAAAGTGCCTGGATTTACGGGGCGGACCTCGCTGATAATCTCCAATCGCTCGTCTCATCATCTCACCGCTTCCGCTTTCGAGGGAACCGGAGGAGCACGCAAAATGCAACCGTAAAAGCGGTGATTCCAGGCCCCGGAGGGTTATTTGCTGGCAGATAGCGCTATGATGTAATCGTTGGCGAGTCCCCAGAACCATCAAGGTTCCGGCTTCAGCGGGCTAAGCTTCTCCGAGGCCGCAAGGGTCTCTTCATTCCCTTGGCCGTGGCAGCCGCCCGTGGAGCCTGACTCACTGACCACTCCAAACACAGCGAAACTCCAACAAGATGGCATTGTCCAAGAACTCGATTCTTCGTCGTTGTTCGTATTCTTTGCTGCAACTGGGTTGATGCATTGATAACCCATCAAAGACCTGAGCCACCCGAGCCAAACTCGCTCTCCTGGTGCAACACAGTGAGATATGACCGCTGTCACCTCCGGTGCTCAGCATCAACTGAGTCAGAAGGGCTGGTAGGGGCTGGTAACCAAGGGCCCGGGGGTGCTGTGTTGATTGTGTGGGGGACAAGGGGCCTCCTACAACCTGGCACGTGCCGCATGCCAGATGACCACTTTGACCTCCAGTTCCGGTGCGGAGATCCCCCGCCCCTGGCTTCGCACTTGGCATGCTGGCAAGCTGGATTGGATTCGCAAGGACAGTGTCGGATCGCTTACCAAAAGACAAATCATTGGGATCAGTCGGTGACCTGCTTTGCGAGCAGATACTGATGAAGCGAGGCGTCCTGAGCGAGAAGAGACACCTGAGAGGACGATAGATCAAGGTACCATATGCACAGTATCAATCCGCTCGACAGGCATGCCTATCAAGGTGGAAACAGTGTCTCACCTGTCATGGTGTACGGTTGCGGTTACTCACAGCCTCAGGCCCTCACAGCCTCAAGGTCCTGAAGCTCCGAAGCTCAATATAGCTTGGACAAATCAAACAACGAAATGACCCCGGCCTTCTCAAACCGATACGACAGGGCGTGACCACAGGTGTGGTTGGCGGTTGACGATCTGGGTGGCAGCCTTGCCGGGGAAGCGTCGCAGGCGTGTGGCAGGTTGGGATGGCCAGAATGGATGGCTCATGGTAAAGATGGATCATCGATATACATTGTCGATATCAAGATAGGTACTGTAGGGTACACATAGGATAAGCTTAGTGTAGCGCAGTAGTCCGTACAACAGGTGGGAACCCGCTCCGTTTGTTGTCACCTCATCCAGGCCCGTAGAGGTGTCATTCATAACAAGCAATCAACACACTCGACACTCGCCTACAAACCACTTACCATCCCTCATCCGGTACCGGGAAATGCGGCGACTTTTGCTTCGGTGCTGGCCATCGTTAGTCCTCTTCTCGAAGCGTTCGATTGTTGACGTGTCGAAACCAATGCAGGAGGTCTGAATCTCCTTGCATCTCTTGCTGGTTCTCGGTTCCGAGTCTCGACAGACGACAAGCTGATTGACCGGGGCAATGGACTTGGATTGAGTGATTGACTGATAAGCCGCGACGTGACCGCTCTTATCGGTCGGATGCAGGCCTGTTGCCCCCTTGTGGAGCAAGCGCGAACTCACACCATTGGTCGCTCCGCCTTTGGCTAGTCCAGTTCGGGTTAGGGATGGGCGTCCCCAGGGCTTGGGGGTGCCTGCGGGTTGAGTGACAGGAGCTTCCCTGAGGCAACAGCACCCACCAGCACCAGGCCGTGCACGCTTACGCATCCGTCCTGTTCTTTATCAGGACGTCCTTCCCGTGCTTCCTCGACTGAGCTTGCCTTCCCTTCTTCTTTCCTCTTCATCCGCCTGTCCACCCATCCCTTGTCCCATCATCATCATCACCAGCCAACGATCGAGGAGCTTCGTCGTTGTCGGTTTATTATTCTTTTCATTCACATCCAGTTTTCATCCTCTTTGAAGTCGTAGCCCAAACCGACTTCGCGCCGTTCCTTTCGTTGGTATCGGTCATCAATCACACAACATGAGAGGCCTTCTCGCTCTATCGCTAGCAGCCTGTGCTGCGGCGGCCCCAGCAGTCAACCATGAGTCGATTCATGGCGATGCTGCCCCCATTCTTTCGTCCTCCAACGCCGAGGTCGTTCCCAACTCCTACATCATCAAGTTCAAGAAGCACGTCACCGATGACAAGGTGTCGGACCACCACACATGGATCCAGAAGATCCACTCCTCCCGTATGGATCTGAAGAAGCGTAGCCAGATCCCCATGGTCGACGATGTCTTTCGCGGCCTCAAGCACACATACAAGATTGGCCAGGACTTTATGGGCTACTCTGGTCACTTTGACGAGGACACCATTGAGGCTGTTCGCATGCACCCTGATGTAAGTCACACAACGCCACCGCTATCCACACCGGCAGCCCTGAAACCTTACTGACGCGTTTTCCAAAACAGGTCGAGTACATCGAGCGTGATAGCGTTGTCCACACCATGAGCATCTCGGAAGATGTTGATGCCGAGGGCAAGTGCGACAGCGATATCGAGAAGTCCGCTCCTTGGGGCTTGGCTCGTATCTCCCACCGTGATACTTTGAGCTTCGCTACCTTCAACAAGTACCTCTATGCCGCTGAGGGTGGCGAGGGTGTCGATGCCTATGTTATCGACACCGGTACCAACACCGAGCACGTGGACTTCGAGGGCCGTGCCAAGTGGGGCAAGACCATCCCCAACGGCGATGCTGATGTCGATGGGAACGGTCACGGCACCCACTGCTCCGGCACCATCGCTGGCAAGAAGTACGGTGTTGCCAAGAAGGCCAACGTCTACGCCGTCAAGGTCCTCCGCTCTAACGGCTCTGGCACCATGGCTGATGTCGTTGCCGGTGTTGAGTGGGCTGCCAAGTCCCATATCGAGAACGTCAAGGCTGCCAAGGATGGCAAGCGCAAGGGCTTCAAGGGCTCCGTCGCCAACATGTCCCTTGGTGGTGGCAAGACCCAGGCTCTTGATGACACTGTCAACGCCGCTGTCTCCGTCGGCATTCACTTTGCCGTCGCTGCTGGCAACGATAACGCCGATGCTTGCAACTACTCTCCTGCTGCTGCTGCCAAGGCCGTCACCGTCGGTGCCAGCGCTATTGATGACAGCCGTGCCTACTTCTCCAACTATGGCAAGTGCACCGACATCTTCGCTCCCGGTCTCAGCATTCTCTCCACCTGGATCGGCAGCAAGTATGCCACCAACACCATCTCTGGCACTTCCATGGCCTCTCCCCACATTTGCGGCCTTCTCGCCTACTACCTTTCTCTTCAGCCTTCCAGCGATTCTGAGTACTCTCTCGCTGAGATCTCTCCCGAGAAGATGAAGGCCAACCTCCTCAAGATCGCCACCGTCGGTGCCCTCAGTGACATGCCCCGTGACACCCCCAACCTCCTCGCCTGGAACGGTGGTGGCTGCAGCAACTACTCTGCCATCGTCGAGGCTGGTAGCTACAAGGCCACCCCAAGGCCAAGTCTGAGACAAGATCTCTTCCGTCTCTGAGCTTGAGAAGGCTATTGAGCACGACTACGAGGTCATCTCCGGCAAGGTCGTCAAGGGTGTCTCTTCCCTCTCCGACAAGGCTGAGAAGCTCTCGGAGAAGATCCACAACATGGTTGATGAGGAGCTCAAGGAGTTCCTCGAGGAGATCGCTCGTTAAAGGGATGAATACTTTTTAATAGCGTGTCATCAGTAGCGCAATGACTATGGCTGGGCTTTTCAGATGCCCTCTTTGGAACTAGGTTGGGACGGGCACTGTTCTGGGTTTTGGGATAGGTTTCGGATGGGCGTGGGACAGCCCCAGGAGTTTTCATGTACAGTATGCACAATATGGGTCACTGATGAGTTTGGGATGGCATGCATTTTCGTACGTAATCAGGTACTTATCTATCCATCATGAGAAACACAAGGTTATTTTGCCTTTGACACAATTACTCTCCCTAGTTTGTTATTTGTGCTTGTTCAAATACCCTTAAGATGCACCGGTTATGATGTTTTCGCGTATCTTGAGTTATTCTCGGTTCGGCTCTCGGAACCCCTGAGGCGATCCAAGGTACGTCCCCTCGTCCCCTAGAATTCTATCTTGGGCATCTCCGTGCACTCCACTGACATCCCAGATGTAGCTCATCTCGACTGGATCACCAACTTCGAGGTTCGCTCTCTCCAGAATTACGGTTGGTTGACGTGGCAGGCGCAAATCGATTCGCGCTTTCCACAGGCTCTAACCAGAGGTCATTGCGTGATAGCAGTAACGGCGATGCACCTTCCTCCAAGTTTATGGATTCTCTTCGAAGCGAGAACCGGTCCCGACCTCGGTCATCATGACTTCCCGAGTCGTTTTCTGGCGACTGCCCTTATCATGGCTGCACACAAAAGGGCGTCAATGGCGATTTCCTCACAAGATGTCGTTGGATTTTCCCTCATCTCTTTGGGATTTCACTCCCGTGCCAAGTTGCTCCATCAAAACTCTTGTGTGTCGCCGATCCAAAAGACCTCATTTCGCCTGAAATAGGGTTAGATGCACAGCTTTACGGCGGATCAATCACGAGGCTATCGCTTGTCAATTCGCAATCAACGAAGGATCTAATAATTACTCTTTCCCTTACCCTTTTTTACGTCCAAGAAAAAGGGCTGCTGCCCCCGTCAGTCAGATCCGATGCTACGTCGACAGAGCGTCAAGTCCAAGCCGGATCTCAGACGCCGCAAATCAACTTCGTCAGCAACCCACGGAGTCCATCTCGAACACCTCGATCCAGCCGTCGCTCAACGAGACGCCCAGGTTGCGGCCTGTCAGGCGTTTACTCGAGCTCAAGACCGGAGTGCCAAGGCAGACATGTCACTCTTTCCACCGACACCCGATAGCTCTCCACGTCGGACACAAGCAGCTCGGAGCGGTACTAAACCTGAAGCGAGCAATACTCCTCATCACGGACGGGAAAACAGCCAAGATCTTCACCGTAGACAGAGCGTGCGGTTTATGGGACCATGTTCTGTCAAAGGAGAGAGACGCCTTGGTCAAGGGGCTTACTCCCACACCAAACGAAACTCCATGGACGTTTCCCAAGCCACTGCGCAACTACAACCCAACGATCAAGATTCTAGCAGCGTTCACAGTTATAGCTTGGCCAACAACGTCAAAGAGCTTTCGATTATACACCAGTCACACCAACCCCCCAAGACTTCGCCTTCAGCTCCCGTCACCGGTCTTGCAGCCGACTATCTCCATGCTCTTGTCGCCAGCGAAGATTACTACACGCCAGAAGATAACATCGCCTCTGCTCCATCTTCATACCGTCGTATCAGAAGGTCCAGATCAATGTTCACCTCCGAAGATCCCGAGAGCAGAAAAAGTCAAGACGACGCCGTGTCGTTTGTTGATGGTAGAGTGCCCCCTTCCAGGTCAACGCTGGGTAACTCTAGCCACAAGGCGCTCTCCAGTGGCAAGGAGAATGATCCCATGACGGGGCTGCCACCACTGAGGACACCAAAGTCGATGAGCTTCTTGAGGACTCGGAGCACTCACTCCAGGTCTGACACACATAGGACCAGCATGGACCAAATGCATAGTCCCCTTGAAGCCCCCAGTGTGCTGGGAGATAGGTCCCATGCCAGCGAACGAGGTACACCACGCCTTGTATCCAAAGCTTCAACAATCTTCAGTTCAAAGAATCGAAGAGCCGAGCCCAAGTTGCGAAAGACGCTTCGAAGCGCCAGCTGTGGCGATGACTTGGCTGAAACAACCCAGAACCTGACGCTTCTAACCACACCATCGGGAAAAGACGATGGCTTTAAGCACAAGGCCAGGAAGGTCTCCAAATCCTTGAAAACAAAGCTGAAGAGTTTCTTCAATCTCACCAAATCCGAGGACTCGTGCACAATCCCGGTTCAGCACATCGACTCTCAGAGAACCCATGTCGTTGACGATGTTGGGTCAATGCACTCCACAGCATCGGATCAAGAGGTCGCGGAGAAGATCGAATGGGGCTCGATTCATCGAGTGCCTTCAAAGATCCCCTCCCTTCAGGTTGTCCCATCCAACCTCCATCACTCGAATAAGGGAAGCCTTGAGAGTCTCAGGAGTGAACGAGAACGCAATGTCTCGGATGATCAATCATTGACCACCTGGGTGCACTCGGGTCCTAGCACACTTACCAGTCAGCAACAAGAAGAATGGAGAGAATGGGAGCGGCAACGTCTTTCCATTATCAAGGAAGGCGGCCCGCACGCTCCCTCACCGTCGATTCGCAGACAAGCCCTCGGGGCTCACCTATTTCAACGCTTTGACGGCTCTACCACACAAACTAACCCGCCTGGTCCAGGCGTGGATAGCCAGCGAGTCTACTCTGCGTTGATGAAGCGGGTGCGCGATATGCACAATCAGACGTTCTCAACAGTGGAACAGCAACGCGAATTTGGGAGTGTGCCCCACGGATCTCTTCGTGAGAGATCTTCGCTTCGATCTCTGGGCAAAACACAACATCTTCACCTAGATACAGATCATATCGATACTCCAACCCGCGCTCCAAGAAAGAGCAGTTTGTCTGGATATCAAGAAGCTCAAGATCACCAAGAGGCAATGCGTTCTTCGTCTGCCACGACGTCACAGTCGGTTGAAACCGGATGGGGCGAAGCAAAAGGAGCTCGAGCCACATTCCAAGCTGGCAGGTCAAAGACCGCCCCTACTCCCGCAGTTAACTCACAGAAAGTACATCAAGATCCCTTCACAGAGCATGTCAGTCATCCACTTGAAGTTCAGGATTATCAGTCTGGAGGTCAACAGCCCCACGACAACCTGGGTCAGAACTCAGCCGCCTCAAACACACCCGGGTCACATCTGTTCCGGACAACAAGTCCGTTCCGCCGTAGTTTACGCGAGTCCATGGAGGCCGAATACAGTGCTATAGCACAGGCAATCCAGGAGTCGATCCATTATACCAGCTCCGATGACAACACGCAAGTCCGCTACTCTGGTCAGTTCGACCCTGCCTCAAAGGATAGGGCCGAGGTAACGGACAACAACGATTACACTGAGAGTGTGTATTCCACAGACGAAATTGGACCCGGTCTATCTAATGGGACAATGGATGATAGCTACAGTCTTCGCAACAGGAGATCTGTAGGCTCACCTCTGGCTTACCAGCCGGCGGACCATCGGATTGAGTCTTCCGCCAGCTCTGTTGACTGGAAGACGTGGCTATCAGCAAATGTTGGCAAGAATGAATCATCTCCCTCGACTCCAGTGGAAGTTGAGTACGCCATTCCTACGATGCCCAATAGCTTTCCCAATCGTCATGTGCGTGAGTCAACGCAGATCAACGAAGACTGCGAGGAGGAGGATGAGGTGTACTATCCTCCAACCCATCGACCGTCACTTCCGATTTCTCCCTTGGCGACAATCGAGCCCAACGTTGTGAAGTTATCGCCAGAACAACGCTCTATCAAGCGTACCACGCCACCTCTTTCCGGTAGAGCTATGCTCGAGAATGATAGCCCAGGCGCTCCTCCTATTCCCGCAAAGAGTGTTTTGAGATGCACCCCTTCGCCACTTAAGCGTTCTGGTGGCGATAGAGGTCACTACATGTCACCTTCGATCACGTCCAGTCCTGGTTTAAGTGCGGCAGTTCAACGTCAGTTTGGACCGGTGTCTACCAGGCAGAACGGCAATGCGCTTGATCGTCATAGACAAGTTGACTCCTCTGAAGATGAACATGTACGCCCAGAATTTGGAGCAGTGGCAGACAATAGGGGCATGGGAAAGTTCAAGATCTCGCAGATACTGGAGGGAGGATTTCGTCAGAGAGTAGCGAGCAGTGACAGCAGCGCGGCAGCCTTTCTTTAATGTTATTTTGGAGCAGGAGAGTTCAACTCTGGGCACAGCTAATATATGACTGACTAGTGTCAGGTCTCACTACTGAACTATATCATTTCTTTTGTATGGGTGTACAGCATGCTGCATTTGCTCTGCTAGGGGTCGACATGCACAAGGGAATTACTAGAGGACAGGTACGGTAATCGGAGTATGGGATAGGGAAAAGGGTCTAGGTAGAGAGGTGTAATCGGGTCGGTAGGGTAGATAGTCTTCCTGCTGCTCATTCAGCTTGACGACATTATGGTTATGGGAATTATCAAAAGATACGAAATGAACGAAACCAAATAGAGATATAAAAACAGCCGAAAGTCGAGGCATCCAAAAACAAAGTTACACCTTGCAATGGTGACAGCTTGTAAATCATTAACCACTCAGCTTACGCCCTATCTAGACACAGCGGTAGATCGCATATGGTACAAGCAGCCGAGTGTGATGGAGCGCAAATGTGTCAACTTAGTACACAGTCCCGAGTCCGGTACGAGGGAGGGACTGCTCGGTGAAGCTGAGGTTGAGGACGGTCTTAAGGATACAAACAACGATGAAGTCTTGTAAATCCCTTGGCGTTAATGAAGGCCACCACGAACGAACGAACGAACGAACGAACAGGCTAAACCATTAGAAGGCCCGAGAGAAAGCCAAATGATGGGAATGACGTCGGAAATCAATTGGTTGGTGTGTCGATCAACACACCCCCTCCTCTCGCTCCAAAACGCCTTCACGGAAGTTGTGCATCTGGTGGTATCACCTGATAACGGCCTTTGATGCATTGTTTGAACAGTACCTTGGTACACACAACACATACATACCTGGTCAAGGCATTATATTTGCGCAGACGGGAGAGGAAGGATGGCCCGGCACCCGCGGGTGGTCCGGTACGGAGGCCGGAGATTTGGGCCCTGCATGCGCTATGTTGTGCTTTTGGCGCTTGAATCTCCAAGACTTTAAGAGCGGCGGTGGGAGGGTGGATAGGTAGGTGGCTCAGGGTAGGTAGATGAAAACGTTCAATGAAGTGGGAGTGAGTGAAACACGTTTTCCCACTTTGACGGTGAGGTGAGGTGCCTGGGCGGGAAGGAAAGGGAAGAAATGGAAGCGTTGGTTCCGTTCATGGAAGTTGGCGTTGGAAATGGAGATAGATTGGAATGGAGCGCTTGGTGGGAACTGGGAACGGAACACAAGGGAATCGAGACGGGAACAGCCTGGTTGGTACAAGTTACAATGGACGGCCAAGAGAAAGCAGGTACCTCTACCTGAAACTGCCGCGTGCTGATTGCGGACACTTGCTTCAAACTTTCTTGTTCAATTTCAGATTTTGGAATCTTCAGTTTGATGCTTTTCGGAACTAAATGTCCATCGTCGACATCAAAACAGAAAAACACAAGTTCCGTCCCAAGCGGTCGGTTCGACATGATATGCAATGGAAGGTGGAAAAGGAGCATGGACGGGCGGGCGATGATGTACAATTACATGATCAGCGTGGATTGACATGCGCCTCGAGAGCAGCCAATAGCAGGACAGCATGTTAACCGCAATTCATCATCTCACTCTCTCCCAAGTCACAACCAGAACCAACGGACTCGGAACTTGAAAGAAGGAGACAAGTCCCGTCATCATTTCTGGAGAAACAGTCATTACGCAAGGCGCCTAAAACCTTTTTACTCAAAAACGACCCTCCAACAATTTCTGGATCAAATCTTCGCTTTTCCGCATAGCCCCAGCGTGCGCAACACGACGGATACCCGTAGCTAATTATCGGTCTTGCATTGCTCTAGCAGGGGTCCCATATCGCGCTGACTTCAGGCCCCGGATCCGTTTTCAGGCTCGCTTCACAAGTACCTTTTTTGCGCAAAATCCCGTGCTTGGGGTACCTGTTGGGGTGCTACAACAAGATTACCTGCGATTGCGCCGACCCAAACAAAGGTCACCTTCATTTCAATCTCCACGCCCCCGTCAGACTCTGGCAAGGCCCAGCAAAAACAAAAAAAACTCCGAGGCCCAGGCTCTTTGCCAACCACGACACCGTTGCCCTATCCTATCTCACCCTTTCTCTTCCGTCGTCCGTCCGTCTCCGACCCGTCATCAGCCCAAGTTGCAGGTTTCTCCATGTTGCAAGCAGAGGACCGAACGACTACGACCGCCCGACGACCCAGGCACCACGTTGCCTTGTGAGAAGAGCAGCGAACTGTCAGAAGCTGCCCAGCTGAGCCGAACATCCCGCCAGCCAGACAGACAATCTCTTCGACAACCGATACCCCTGAATCAAAAAAACAGAAACAACTTGACAATCAAAAAAATGAACGCCCTTCAGCAGAAATGTCGGCCCAAGCACCAGGTCCTGGTCCTCAAGTGCTACCCTCGAACCATCAAGGGCGCTGTCGATGTCAAGCCCAATTCGAGCGAGCTGAGCTACCTCCTGTTCTACTGCCAGTCGCGCCGCGCCAAAATCCAGAAAGTCGGCAGCTTCCTCGAGAAGAAGACTGCCAGTGACGTCTACCGCCAGAGGATAGGGTAAGCATACTTACCACTAAGCTTCATCATTGTATATGCAATGCAACAAACAAATCACCGACACCAACCCCACGTCTCGTTGCACAACTTCTTCTTCTGAAGGATACTAGACTAACGAGTGCATTGCATACACAACAAACAGTAACGTCCAGGTTACCCTCCAGATCCTCGCCGCCCTGATCGAAAAGTCTCCCAAGGACCTCCCCCTGTTCGCATCATGTGTCCTCAGCATCCTCGAACAGGTCCTCAAGTCGAGCGACATCACCATGGTCGAGTCCTCGATCCCGACCTTCCAGGCCTTTTGTGAGCACCATGACCCTACCTCGCTCGCCGCCGACCAGGCCTATTTCCGCCAATACGTTTCTGTGGTCCAGCAGTACGCCTCTCTCGCTTCGACCCGTCCCGCAGCTGGAAAGGCAGTGTATAGTAAGCCTATCGCTCTGCGATGGAGGAACGCCGGCTTGGAGGCCATTAGGAGTGTCGCCTCTTCCGACGCCCTGTCTTCCCTGGTTGCCCGCCAGTACGACATCATTGTCCCCATGATCCTGGAGAACCTGTGGACAGAAAACGAAGACTTCCTCGACATTCTGCTGCAGCGAGCCGACGGGGAAGACACGGTCGAGGATGCGCCGCTGTTGCGGAGGAGGACGAGCAATGCCGCGGCCCAGGCATCCGAAGCGAGCGGCGGTGAGCCGGGCCACCCCAACCCCATCGCCTTCCTGGGAACCGCGGTGGACGTCGACAAGCTGGCGGAAGAGGATATCGGCGTCTTGGCCATTCAGTGCTTGCGACAGGTCTTTGTTGCGCCCAGCCGATCGCAGACCCACAACCCTACCATTGCTCTGCTCCGGTTCATCGAAGAGCGAGTGGACCAGAACGAACAGGTCATCAAGAGGGATGCCCACGGGAAGGACAGTGGGTGGGCGATCAAGGTGTTTTTGATGGCGGCTCGATGGGCTCCGGTGGCGGACAGATTCACTATTCTCCTCACAGCCATTGAGGTGCTTGCGCAACGCCCCCTGACCGACGACAACCTGCGACACCACAACATCCAGGCCGCCATGATCAGCGCCCTTTTGCGCTCGGACGTCAACTTGATCGGCCTGAGCGTCATGGACGTTCTCATCAACCTCCTCGGCCGTATGCAAAGGCTTGTTCAGATGCCAGGGGACCCGGATAGTATGCGGGTGGAGCAGGAGGAGATTGGCAACAATGAGGGGGCTATTGGACAGCGCAGAGAGTTGCTGTTCAGATTGCAACAGTGTATCGGCGACTTGGCGACCCACGTCTACTACGCCGACCAGATCTCGGACATGATCCAAACGATTTTGCTTAAGCTACGTCCGTCCAAGTCGGCCACCCCCCGAACTCTTCGCCAAACGGAGAGGCCACCGAGGACCAGCCCCTCGAGTCCCTTTTCGCTCTTACTGTCGCCAAGATCGCGGCGCTCAGAGCCATCAAGGCCATTCTTCGGGTTGCCAACCCCCGCACAAAGATGAGCGGCAACATTAACCTCACCAGAAACCGCGTTCCCATCCAGACCTGGGATGGTACCCAATGGCTTCTGCGGGATCCTGACGGCCTCGTGCGCAAGGCATACGTGGATGCCGTCGTGACATGGTTGGATCGGGAGACCACAGCAGCAGATTCTTTGGCAAGGGATGAATCTGCCAGGGCAACATTGAAGAACCGGGCTGTCCAGGAGGCTAACCTTGCTCGCCGGGTGGTCTCGAGCGCCTCTGCTCGGGTGGACAAGTCAGCAAAGGTGCCGCGCTCGCACTTCTTGCAGCTGCTTCACCTTGCTATCTACGACCATGCTTTGCAGTTTGTGGACTACGAGAATGATCTGGTACTGCTCCACGTGCTCTTGGCCAAGCTCGTGAGCCAGCTTGGTGTCAATGCTGCCAAGTTTGGTATTCCCATGATTTTCAGACTCCAAGAGGATATCCAAGAGGTTGAGACGCCCCTTGGAAAGGTCCGCATTGGCAGTCTGGTGCATGGCTATCTCTGGACATTGACAGAGAAGTTTGACTGCGAAGGGACTGCTCCGGGGAGGGCGATCCATGGCGAGATCATCAGGCGCCGTAGCAAGCACTTTTGGGTCGAGGGTATCAACATTCCCGCTCCTACCGTTGATCTCGTGGGCACACCAGGCCAAGCACGCCCGCCACCAAAGATGAACATCCAGGATCTCGAGTCTGAGGCGCTTCTGCCGTTTGATGAGCGCGCACTCCTGGTGGAATGTGTCTGCACAGGCTACCAGGAACTGGCAACCTCGCCTCCTACAAGCCCGACCGCTAGTCCCGGTCGGAACTTCACCCACCCCATCCTTGGATCGACGTTGAGCACGATTCCCAAGGCCGAGACCCAGCGGGAACTCCCACCACAGTTCCGTGATCTGATGCTCGGCGACTGGACAAGGGAACAAGTCCTCGCCAACGCGCAAGCAGGTAGCAGCAAGACTGCCTCGCTCAACGGCTCGCGATCCGGCACAACCGGTACTCACCGGAACACGGTCAACAACAACCACAACAACCGCCTCGGCGTAAACGGCGTGACCTCACCATACGCCAGCAACTCCAACCTCCGCCCTTCGTCTTCCCCAGCAGGTGCCAACGGCGTCCAAGTAGGCCGCACGCGCAAGACCAGCATCCGCAGCAACGCCGGCGGCTCACCCGCCCACTCCACGTACAGGGCTGGCAAGGCCCAGCAACCCGTCACGTCCGTGGAGCAGCTCAAGGCCGTGCTGTCCGGCCACCTCCAGCCCCCGCCCACCTCGCATGGCATCGGATTCCAGCATTCTGATGATAGCGACGATAGCCTCGTCAGCTACGACATGGCGCCCAGCGAACTGTCTTTCAACCCAGCTGCTGCTGGCGGGCAAGGGTCTCCCGATAACACCAGCCAGGTTGCTTCCAGCCCGCCGCGCCGCACGTCCCAGGATCGTCAAGGTCAGCAGCTGAAGTTCGGAGGACCTTTGGTACCGGGCGACGATGAAAAACCCACCACCGTCGCCGGTGGTGGCGACGACATCACCAACGGCAACGCCGCAGCTAACCTCGGCGTCCCCGTCTCGCGAACGACTTCCCGCACTCAACACCAAACTGCCACGCACACCTTTCCCAGGCCATCAACTTCCTCTAAGCGAAGCATCAAGAGCCGGGCGGGCTCTCGCGCGGGAGGTCCAATGTCCTCCTCGTGGCTGGGAGAGAAGCCTCCCGCTATGGACCTGGCAGCCTTGCTGAAGGGGATTGATAGTGCGTCGATTAATGGCGGCGATTTTAATAAGAACTTGGGAATGGGGGCTGTGGGGAAGCCTCCTTATTAAACTACCTGTGTGTGTTGCCAGGGGGGCAGCTGAGCGATTGATGGACGGATAGATGGATCGGGGAGGGGAGGGGAAGAAAAAAAATATATCTTTAGCGGGACGTGCGTGGTTTATTTTTTGTTTCTCTTTCTCTTTCTCTTTTTTTGAGACTCTTTTCATTATAGACTAACTTACTCTTCTTGGACTATTTAACTTGATTAATGGGGGTTCGAAATTTGGAGCAGAAGCAGGGGCAGGAGCAGGAGCAGGAGCAGGAAGGAGCACTAGAAAGGAATGGCAGATGGTAGGGTGGGTTAGCGAGGAGGATACTTAAGCTATGAAGGAAGGGGGAACGGTTTAAGCCAATGTTAGCGTTGTAAAAGGAATCTTTTATGTCTTGTCTTGTTTGTTTACATTACCTGGGGAAAGGGGCGCGCGGATTTGTATAACTCATTCGTATCTCTTTTTCTTTTTTTTCGTCACCACGTTACCTTTTACCCTTTTCTACTGACTAACTTTACATACGTGGACTGCTTTTCCTTTGTGCTGTATACAATACAGAAAGCAACTGTTTTTTCTTATGGAGCGGTTGGAAATAGACAAATGAAGACAAAAAAACCAAAAGGATATGTATAGAAAGAGACTCAGAGTACCTACCATGACGCCTTTCCGTTTTGTGGAATTTTGCCTTGCTGGATTGGATTGGATGTAGTACCCAAAACCCGAACGAATGATCCCTTCTAGATAGACAGACAGACAGACAAACAGAC